TTTACCCTTCTCAAGGGGACCATGTATCTCTTCCTTAGTTCCTCCTTGTTTCCTAACCTCTCTGTGGGTTTGGATTCTAGGCTGGTAATTCTTTGCGCTATGTCTAAACATCATATATGAGTGAGTACATACCATATTTGTCTTTTTGTGACTGGGTTACCTCAATAAGGATGATTTGTTCTAGTTCCACCCATTTTCCTGTGAATTTCAAGATTCCATTGTTTTTTTCTGCTGAGTAGTACTCCGTTGTATAAATGTACCAAATTTTTTCTATCCATTCTTCAGTTGAGGGGCATCTATGTTGCTTCCAGGTTCTGGATATTACAAATAATGCTACTATGAACATAGTTGAACTGATGTCTTTGTTGTATAATTGTGTATCTTTTGGTTATATGCCTAAGAGTTGAATTGCTGGATATTGTGGTAGACTGATTGCCATTTTCCTGAGGAACAGCCATATATTCATGAATGTCCTTCAAATGCATCCATGAGTCTTACTTTACACAGCCAGACCCCTAACTGACTAAACAGTTACTTCTATTTGGATTTGGGAGACAACTTTATTGTTGATATTTCTTCCAAGAGATTGGTTATCCAGCTACATATTTGATTGAGGGAAATATAGGGGTTTCCCACTGGATTTCACAAACTATCAGCCAGATTTGCTGCTTTTCCAGAGTAAATGTGAAAAAGATTGTTTCCCAGTTGCCTTAAGAATGAAATTTTACATCCATATCCTCCTTTACATATGCCTTGAGTATTTGCTTCATACATTTCTCCTTATCTTAGTCATTTCATCACCCATTTCAACATTTCTTCTTACAAGAATTAGTTCTTCAGCCAAACAGTTCCTTATATTCTGGACTTTCACATGCTTTATTTCAGATTATTTCAATGCTTCCTTCCCTTTAACAGCCATTTACCTTCATTTTACTTGGGTTCTAATTAATACCCCTGGGTTTCCTAGAGCCACACTCAAGTCCAACAGAATTGAGTTGCTTCAATGTATCTACTCTTTAATATTTCTGCAAACCATTATTGAGACTTGCACTTCAACCTAACCATGTTCCCACAAACAGCCCTGAGGACCAAGCATTCCATGCCTCTCTCCATACTCCTGATGGTTACTTGTATCTACACAATTCAGACTCCAATAGGACATACCTACTATTCCCTATCTCAGGAGGTGGAAGCAGGTAGGAATTTGTGGCCAGACCCACTTACATAATACTATGAGTCAATAAAACAAAAATAACAAAAATAAAAGGAAATAATAAAATATATTTTATATCTTATTTCCAAATAAAGTCACATCCTGAAATTCCAGAGAGATAAAAATCCTTGAGGGATACTATTTAACTTAGGATAGATGCCCTTTTTACCTTTTATCTGTAGCAACTCAATATCCTTTAACAGTCTAGTTATGACATTTTATTGAAAATTCCTCCTGACTTTTCTTTTTCACAATTGCATAAAGACAGCAATATGCTTCCCTTATAGGCCATTTCATCTTGAGTCCCCACTGCAATCTCTGGCAGAGAGGAGAGGCTCAATAGACATTTGAAAATAAAATAGAACAGAGGATAAAAAGCTTCTTAAAATCTCACAGCCTGCTCATATGATTCAGGATAACTTCCTGAGGTAGAACAGACTTTTAAAGCAGGATTTCTTTAATTCCCTTCATCTATGTCTTTGGGTAACTTGCTGAGCAAACAGAAAGCAAAAATAATGAATGCTCAAATGAATGAAGTACTCCCAAAGACAAACTGCATTTTATTTGACCAATTATTACTCAGCATTTTATTTTACTTTATTTTGTATTTCCTTGATCTATTCTTCATCTTGATAACTTTTACATATAATTTGACTTGAATCCTTTAAATTTTATTTACAGTGGGCATCTGATTCTGTCTTCAGACTACTAAAGATGCATTCCTGTTCATTCCTATAACAGTCCCAACCACCACATTGCCTAAAACTTCATGCATCTAGACTGTATGTGATTGATCTTTCTGATTTTTCTGATACATCTTGGTACAAGTACAACAGGGTGTTGGACTGGCTGAAAAGCTATATATCCTAGTTCTGCACAAACCTCAGACAAATATAACATAATATAATATAACAAATATTACATAAAATATAATATAAATTTGCACTAGGATCAGCTGGGAAGTATCTGTTTCACATACCCTAGAAACTGCAGGTACTTTGCTTGTCTCTGGGCATCTGCCCTGTAATTAAAACTGATTTAAGACGTTTTGTCAAATCTTCTCATATCATTTATCATGCCCTGCCATCTACTCCCTTGTCTTTTGCAGCTACTGCAATGTATCAGCCCCAGTGGTTTGAGTACTACTTCATAACCTACTGACTCCAGGTGCCTAGTAGTAACGATTGTGGTATGGTAGGAACTGATGAATGCCTAGGTGCGGCGTCCACCCTTGACCAGCAAGAAAGACGCCACACCGAGGAATCTTCTTCAAACACAGTTTAATCGGGAACCTCTTTGCTTTTGTACAATGTATAATGGAGGCGGCGGCGGCCCCAGGCCGAGGGAGACGGGGCCTGATATAGTCTACATCTACCAATCACCTAACCCTACGTGGCGCGCCAGGATAGGTTGTCTCCAAGCAGAATTAAGAGGATACATG